CCCATGACTTCCAGTTGGCTGTAAATAGAGAAGCATTAGGAGAACTCCCTTGAATGCCTCCAAGGGTGGAGACACGCTTTCTCTTTGATGTAGACTTTGCTTTCCTGAATAGTAGGGGCACACAGGGAAGAAAAGAGTTTTCTACCCTCGCTCAGAAGATAGGCTCTGTATACTTCCCTGCAGCACGGTCCTGCGGCCTAGCACACACACTTCTCAGGCTCATTCCTTCAGCCTGCAGTGCACAGACACTTAGCAGATTCTCACATTTAGTTAGTTTTGTTTCGCAGGATTTTAAATTTTCTTCTTTTCTCTATAAGTATTTTGGTGGGAGGTTGGGAGAAGCTGGGTCAAAGTTTTTGCAGGAAGATGCTATTTTAATCTTGACATCTTTGGAACATTCACAGAGTTTCCTCTACGAGGCAGGCACTTGCACATGTATCACTACATTTGGGATTGGAGATAACATTTCCATCTTAAAATGGAAAGAACTAAAAGCCAGAGAGATGAAGCAAGTTGCCTAGCATCACAGAGGAAACAACACTGCTCAGTTGGGGTTTGAACCCAGGTATCTTTGGCTTCTAGACCTTTTCTTTGCTCCAGGAGGGATTTTTTTTTTTTTTTTTTTTAAATACCCCTGGGTTTTTCCCATCTCTAGGAGCTCTGATGGCATAATGCCTAAGGCATTTGACTGCTAACCAGAAGGCTGGTGGTTCAAACCCACCAGCCACTCCTCAGAAGGAAGGTTGGGCAGTCTACTTCTGTAGTGATACCACCTCAGAAATCCAAGGAGGAGTCGCTATGAGTCATATCCGACTCAATAGCAGTGTGTGATGAATAAACACACGAGGATTGGGGTAAGGCATTGAATGGCATTTGCAGCAGCCTTGGTAAACATAAGCACTATGTGTTTGCTGACACTACCTAGCATCCAATGGGACTTTATTCATGCCTGTTTCCCACTCAGATGGGAAATGTGAATGGTGGTGAATCACACCGTGAGATATTTACACAGCATTTCAAACACTGAACTTGTTATCTACCAGGCACTGGGAGTATTCCTGTGCAATTGAATGAATGAATGAATGAATGACATCAGAAGAAAGGGAACCATTTTGTTCTTCCACTAATATCCTTCCGAGTGTTAACGGTGCCTGTGGCACATTGCCAGAGCCGAGACTTAGGGAAGGTGAGTGAGGCCTGGCCTTGGGTGCAAACTGGAAGGGAGCACAGAAAAACTCAATAATTGAGGTAACATTTTAATGCATTGTTGAAACATCAAAGCTAATGCAAAAAAATCCACGATAAATATGAAAATTTGAATAAAGATCTGACCCTGCACCTGCGTTTCTGCCTCCCTCGCTGGACCCTGCCCCTGGCCTTCCTACTGCCAGGGGAGGATTTAGCTCCTCAAACCGTATTCACTTATGACAGGAAACTTTGCCCCCAGGGGACAGTTGGCAATATAGAGAGACATTTTGATTGGTACAACTTGAGGTGGAGGCAGATTTTTCCTGGCATCTAATGGGTAGGGCCAGGGATGCTGCTGAACATCCTAAAATGCACAGGATAGCCCTCTACCACAGTGCATTACCCAGCTCCAAAGCGGCCGGTTGCTAACCAAGAGGTTGGTGGTTCAAACTCACCCCATGGCTCCACAGGAGAAAGACCTGGGATCTACTTCTGTAAAAACAGCCAAGAAAACCCTATGGGGCAGTTCTACTCTACTGAGGGGTCACTGCAAGTGGAAATCAACTTGACAACACCTCACAACAGCAACAAATGCCAGTAGTTCTGAGGTTGAGAAACGTGGTTTTGGAAGTACTTAAAAAATACTGTGTCGTTGTCTTTAAAGGAGCTCTGGTGGCATAGTCGACCAGGCATTTGGCTGCTAACCAGAAGGTTGGTAGTTCAAACCCACCAGCTGCTCCAAGGGAGGAAGATGAGGCAATCTACTTCTATAAAGATTTACGGCCTTGGATGCCCAATGGGAGTCACTGTGAGTCAGAATCAACTCAGTGGCAGGGAGTTTGGTTTTTGTATTTAAAAGCTCTCATCACTGGAAGGATATTTGGTAAAGTATTTGGTGAAGCAGTAACCAATCTCAGGAATTGGGAAATGTATGTATTTTTTGCCCTGTTTAAAGATTGCTTAGTCTGAAAAGAGATACTGTGTTGGCTTAACTTCTCAAATTTTGGGTTCTCTAGTTCTTACAGGGTGGGCTGGGCTGAGGGAAGACCAAGAGGCTCAGGACCCAGGGCACCAGTCCCTACCTAGCCTGTGAGGCCCCTGTGTCCACGCCTAGCCCCCGGCTGATTCGTTCCCCTTGTAGTGCCCGGGAGCCCCCACACCGGGTAGGACAGCAGACATGACTATCACAGTCTCTCCCTTATCCACTAGTCAGAGAACGTGGTTCTGGGCCAGGTTTGCCTCTTAGGCTGTAAGTCAAGTCATGGTTGACCACTGTTTCCCAAATGTTAGGATTTTCTTCCGGGCTAAATTAACCTCAAAGTCCCTGGGGGGTGCAAACAGCTTGTGCTCATCCACTAATCTAAAGGTTGGGAGTTTTAACCAGGGCTTCAAAGTGGTTCATGCTGGTTTGCTCCCCTGCTGAGAGCTTGCATTTCCACGCAGACTAACTGAATCAGAACCTACACTTTACCAAGACCCCCAGGTGATTTTCATGTGTGTAAAGAATCACCTGAGGATTTTGTTGAACTGTAGACCTTAATTCAGTAGATCCAGAGTGCAAATGCCAGTTCCAAGCCGGAGTTAAAAATGGAACAGACTGGTTGGAAACCCTGGTTGTAACTCACGCAGCGGCATCGGGGAAGAAAGGCCTGGCAATCTGTGAAAATTACAGCCAAGAAACGCCTGTGAAGCAGTTCTACTCTGTAACATGTGGGGTTGCTATGAGTCAGAATCAATCCTAAACTTTTTTTTTTTTTTGTAAGTTAACTTTCTTTGTCCCGACCTCAGACAATGGGCAAGAACCACAGCACATCTCTCATGCACCCACCAGATGGCGATGTTTCCTTTGCCATTACTCTGCGACTCTGCTCTTCCTGGCTTTTGGTTCCCAAGCATCTGCCCTGCTGTCAAGTCATGGTGTGCCTTGGTCTGCCTTTGGGACATGGCTAGGAGCAGCTCTAGCTTCTCTCAGCTGAAATTGCCCATGTCTCAGTAGGCACAGTGTGCCTAACCAGTGTTGGAAGAAAAGTAACTCTCCTTATCTCGAGTTGGCCAAGCAATTGTTTGCTAATAGCTGTTGGTCTGTTTTTGGAAAACAGTGCTCAATGGAAGAAGCCCTGGTGGTGCAGTGGTTAAAGCGCTCAGCTGTGAATTGACAGGTTGAAGGTCTGAACCCACCAGTTGTAATTCACTGCAGCGTAGTAATCGGGTGTCCAGTGGCACTGGTTAGCGCCCAGGAATGTAATAGTTTCCTCAGGGCTTCCTCCCCCCCCCCTTTTTCCTTTCAAGTAGCCCCATTAGAGAGGCTTTTTAAAATTTTTTCTTTTTTTTTTTTTTAAATTGTACTTTGGGTGCAAATTTACAAAGCAAATTTGTTTTACATTCAACAGTTCATGCACATTTGATTTCATGCCCGATTACCATCCCTAACCATAAAAGACTCTTCCCCTCTCCTCTCTGTGACCACCCCCTCCCTGTGCCCTTCTTATCTATGCATTCCTGTCTGTCCGGCTTTCTGTCTTTGTGAATGCTGCTCCTCTGATGTCTCCTGGCTGATTGGTCTAAGGGGTGCGTCTCTGTAGAGTAGGACAGGGCATCGCCCTGGGCTAGATGTTCTATATGTAGGTCTTTCTACTGTTGGGCTGAGAGCCAATCCATGGAAGTAAGTCCATTTCTAGGCCCCAAGGGTAACCTGGAGCCAAAGTCTCGGGGGTTCCACCAGTCTCTATTGGACCAGTAATTCTGGTCATTTTTGTGTTTCTGAATTTTGTTCCCATTGCAGAGAATTAAACCTTAACAATTCGCTTGCATAACATGAATGCAAAACCAGACAGAGCCTAGCACTTGCCCACACTATTTGAAGTGCAAAGGGCTCTGAATAAACAGTGAACTGCCTTGAGGACAGAAACTTCAGGCAAAATCTTCTAATTTGTTATTGGGAAGGGGTGTGAACTATGCATTCAGCTTTAGCCTCCTCAGGTATTTTCTTACAACTGACAGACATTGACACTGACCTGCAGTGCTCCTCCACAGCCATTTCTAGCGGCAGGGCCCACCCATCTTTGGAGCATTTGTTTAGAAACCCCAAAACAAACAAAAAAAATCCAACTGCTATCCAGTCCTAGGCAGTATCTCTATGGAAGTAGATTGCCCAATCTCCCGAGGAGTGGCTGGTGGGTTTGAACTGCCAGTCTTCTAGTTAGCAGTTGAATGCCTAGGCACTTCGCCACCAGAGCTCCTTTTTTTTTTTTTTTTTTTGTATTCAGTTAACCCCCACACAAGGGGACTCCATGAATGTCAGAATAGAATTGTGCTTCATTGGGTTTTCAGTAGCTGCTGTCTTCCAACTCAATCACCAGGACTTTCTTCCAAGGCCCCTCTGATTAGACTCAACTGGTAACTTTTCAATTAACCACTACATATGAGGCGTTTGCCTGACTTAGTCTTGTCCAATGTTTCTTGGAAGGAAAGAATTCATGGAATGGTTGGAACAGGCAGAGAGAACAGGTATGAGGGGAAGCCCCTGGGATACTAGAAACGGTTATCATTTAGAGACTACAACACGAACTGGGCTTCAGGAGGGCTTCTTGACTGGAAGTTTGTGGGCGGGACTTTCTGACCAGAACCACGAGCTGAGGAAGCTCGGCCGCCAGCACACCTGCCGGTGAGCAACACAAGTTTCCCTATGAGTGAAAGGCTTTTCCTCCTGTCCTTAAGGTAGGGGTGTCTGTGTTTTCTGCTTTTCTGTGGGCTCTCCTTCCTGTCTCGCGTTCTCTGCTGGAGGTATTACTGATGGTCGCTGTCGTCCACACCTTCCCGAGTAGGCCTCGTGGTGCCCCAGGCTGCCCTGGCTGCCTGACACTCGGCGCTCTCGCGAGTGTCCTACTCGCTTGTGGAGGCCCAGCCCCTCAGGTGTCACCCTGCTCATGGCCCACGCCCCACAGCTCACTGCTCCCTCTGCCCTCAGCCCCGCGTGCTCCCGTGCGGCCCTAGGGACGACCCTCCGGGCTTCCTGCCCTGGCCTCTGGCCCCCAGAGCACTCTCAAACTTCTTACCACAGCAAAATGGAAACACCCAGCTGCCTGCGGTGAGTTCAGCTCATGGCGACCCCATGTGTGTGTAACTAGAAATGTAGTCACCAAATGTGTGTGTGTTTTAAGAAAAGCAGAGACAGGAAGTTGAGGGGGCAGTGAGTTGACGGCGTCGGCGACTGAGGGACAAAGCGGAAGAGGAGGGTGAAGACGGTCGCACAGGTCGCGAAGGGGGCCCCCGTCACCAGGTTGTGCGCACAGGAGTTTTTGGAACGGTTTGTGTGCTGTGTGTGTTCCCAGCCATAACACAGCAAGGAGTTAAGGACTGGAACATCACAGAACAGGCAGTCGGCTTCCCGCGCCTAGCCCTGAGCGCCACACCCACGGGGGGCGTCCGTGGATTGTTCAGATCCGGCCGCTGTCTGTGTCCACCTGTTTGCTTATCTTGAGTATTCTTCACGGGCCCTGAGAACAGCATTTACTGCGTTCGTTTGGATGTTTGGTTTCCGATTCTGTCACCCAGTACGCATCGTTAGAGGTGTCGCCTGTATCTTGTTAGCCTATCTCCAGCGCCCAGCATTGAGCAGGCACGCCAAGGGTGTGCTGCCCTAGGTGAGCAGTTGCCCACCTGGCTTCCACCTGCTTCATTCCGTTTTGAGCCCAGATGAGAATGTGCGTTTCCATCCCATGTGTACTGAATAAGAATCAACTTTTTTTTAACAAGAGCCCCAAAGTGTATACATTAAGAATCACCTGGGATCTTGCAGAATGTCTGTCTGGATTCAGTTTCTCTGAGGTGGAAATGCAGATTCCCGCAGGGGGTTGAACTGGAATGAACTGGTTCGAAGCCCTGGTTGCCTGGCAGACCAGACCAGTGTGGTTGCCTAGGTGATGGAGTGTGAGATGGGGAGGACAGGTTAGGGTGTGGAAGAGGAAGTGCCCAGAGGAAGTGTAATTGGAAAGTCCCCTTCCCACTTTGACCAGAGGACGCCTGGGATTTCTGCGGAAGCTGCAAGAAAGGGAGGATGGAGGGAGCAGCTGAGCAGAACATTGAGTGAAGCGCAGGCACTGACCCTGACAGGCCGGCTCCTCCGTGAGGGAGGACAGCGCAGAGGGGGCAGGATGGGCGGTGCTCTTAGATTCGCCTGCTGATTAATATTCAGGCAGTGGGCGGGGCTGGACTGTATAATAATGCCAGTCTGCAGGTCCGGAAGCCCATGTGAATCACATCTCAACACCCACGGGGGATAGTGGAGTGAATTGTCTTTTGTTGTTAGAAGTGTATTACTGTAGTTTAGAATGCTTTTTACACATCACGGCTGGCTTTGAACCGGTTCATTCCAGTTCCACCCCCTGCTGAAAATTTGCCTTTCTGCTCCAGACATTCTGAATCTAAATCGACATGGTGACAAGATCCCCGGTGATTCTTATACACATTGATAAGCCACACGCTTACACACCTTTGCCTGGGGATCTAGTTACAGTGTCAGTTCAGAATACCTGGGGTGGAAAGGCAGATTCTCAGCACAGGGTGGAACTGGAACAAACCGCTTTAGAGCCCCATTACACATTGGAAATGCTTCTTCCGGAACCCTCCCCACAGGTGGAGAAGATGTTCTGTATTTGCAATCTGTCTCCCTCCCTATTAATCATTCTGATGCCCCCTTCCCATGCATCTGCCACGGGCCTCTCTGTTCCAAGATTTTATCGGTATCTATCTTGTAGCCTTTAATAAATCATTTGCTGATGGCATGTGATCCTGGACATCTTGCATGAATGGAAATATCTCCCTGCCTCCCCTTGACATGTCTGTGTAACTTCTCTGACTGTCCCTGAAACAGGTGCTAGGAAATTGGTGACATTGCCTATATCAACAAGCTTATTTTTTGGGGAAGAGGAATATCACTTAATTTAATCATCAGTAAAAACCCCCCAAAAACCCATTGCTGTCGAGTTGATTCCAACTCACAGCATGCCTGTAGTACAGAGTAGAACTGCCCCATGGGCTTGCCAAGGCTGTCACCTTTATGGATGTAGACTGCCACATCTCTTGTCTTGTGAGAAGCTGGTGGGTTCAAATTACCAATCTTTGCTTAGTGCTCAGTTGTTAACCACTTCCCCACTAGGGCTCCTTAGTCATTGCTGTGTAATAAATTACATGTTGTTGTTATGTGCTGTCGAGTTGGACCTGACTCATAGCGACCCCTCCTTGGGTTTCTGAAGTGGTATCACTACAGAAGTAGATTGTCCAACCTTCCTTCTGAGGAGTGGCTGGTGGGTTTGAACCACCAGCCTTCTGGTTAGCAGTCAAGTGCCTTAGGCACTATGCTACCAGAGCTCCTAATAAATTACATGTTGTTGTAATGTGCTGTCGAGTTGGACCCGACTCATAGCGACCCCTCCTTGGGTTTCTGAGGTGGTATCACTATGGAAGTAGATTGTCCCATCTTCCTTCCGAGGAGTGGCTGGTGGATTTGAACTGCCAGCCTTCTGGTTAGTAGTCAAGTGCCTGAGGCACTATGCTACCAGAGCTCCCAATAAATTACATAGTGTGGCTTTTCTAGCCATAAATCTTTATAAACTCCTTGGTGGAATTTGCCTTGAGCAACTGAGCAGCTCTTGATTGTTAAAGTTACCACCTGGGGTATTTCCATTGGGAACAGCACAGAGTAATATTCTGGGAAGTTTACTTTCTCTCAGATGTATAGAATTCTGATGTTGGGATTGGTTAGTTTGGCCAGTCTGCCAGCTGAGAAGGAGCCCTCTTAGAGGCAGAAGGAATCTCTCATTGCCGGCTGAGAGATGTGAGAGAGACACACTGCTCGGAGAGAGACACTGAGAGACACACACTGCTGAGAGAGAGATTGAGAGAGACTGTCGGCTGAGAGACAGCGGGCTAAGAGAAACTGAGCGTGTTCCTGAACTTGAATTGTAACTTGTTGCTTCCCTAATAAACCCCATAATCTGTGAGTTACATGTGGCCACTGCAGTGAATTATCAAACCCAGCAGAGAGGTGGTGGGTGCTGCGGGAGGAATAGTCATCTATCAAAAAAACACCCAAATTCATTGCCATAGAGTCGATTCCAACTCATAGCGACCTCCATTGGGTTTCTAAGGCTATAAATCTTTACAGAAGCAGACTGCCTCATCTTTCTTCCATGAAGCAGCTGGTGGGTTCAAACCACTGACCTTTTGGTTAGCAGCCTAATGCTTTAATCATTATACCACTAGAGCTCATTTTGTCATCTGTAGTCATTGCTTTTATCAGAGGATTCTCATGAACCAAAAACATTTGCTGCCATAGAGTGAAAATGAAGTTTGTCTTTGGTTGTTGGAGTCGCCACCAAGGCCCTGACTTCTGGCCGCCTCACATCGAGGGGCAGCGTTGCCTGGTCCGGTACCACCTTTATGATTGTCGCTCCACTTGAGGGCACTGTAGCAGATGCTGTGTGTTTTGTGTGCTTTCTAACCTAGGGGACTCATCCTTCAGCACTTACATTGGACGATACTGTGATCCATAGGGCTGTCCTTGGCTATTTTCACAAGTACAGTGCCAGGCTTTTCTCCCTAGTCTTTGTTAGCCTGGAAGCTCTGCTGAAACCTGCCCACATTGGGTGATGGCTGACCCTGTTGGTGTTTGAAATACTGGTGGTATAGCTTCCAGCTTCCCAGCAGCCATGTGAGCCCTCACAGTAGACAGACTGGCAGGCAGGTGGTGGTGTCCTTTAATCCATCTTCACTCTCTTGAATCTTGCTGATTCATGGTATGTTCTAAACTAGGGGTCAGCAAACTGTAGCACTCAGGTCAAATAGAGCTTGTTTCCTATCTTATAAATAAAGCTTTATTGGAATAGAACCATACCCATTTAAAAAACAAAAACAAAAACTATTGTCTATGGTTGCTTTTTGATCTATTACAACAGAGTTGAGCAGTTGCAAAATAAATCCTCTGGGTCGCCAAGCCTGAACAATTTAGTCTGATTCTTGTGAGATAAAGTTTTCGGGCCTCTCTTCTAGACATTTCACTGATGTCAGCGGGTGGTGTCCCATCTCTGCCCCAGGGGTCCTCCAGGAGCTGTGGAGAGATCAGAATGATGGGTAGAGAAGATTTTAAGCAAAGCAAATAAATGTTGCCTTTTTAGATCAATTAGTTCATTTTCTAATAGGTGTGCAATGCTTGTGAAGACTTTTGTCAGGGACTGTCCAGCTCACGTGCCTGTGTGAATGTTTATGTGCACATGTATGTGTGACTGTGTAGGCATGTATGTCAGTGCAGGGGGGAGTCATGAGGGGTGTATACCCAGCATGTGATCGGTGGCCATTTGGGAGACAATGTTAAGTTACCATTCTTACTAAATGTGTATTTTCTGATCTTTTTGCAGAGGTAGTTATTGTATGTGTATTTGTTTGTATTATGTATGTGGTATTGTATGTTGCATAGTCACAGTAACAGCAACATCATTCTTCCTTCTCATGTTGCATACTTTTCTCTGTGTGGTTTATGATAGTGAAGTCCATTCCCTGTGAAGGAATTCACTGGGGGAAGTGCTTGTTACAGAGGGAACATAAGCAGGGCTGAGTGATGTGTTAGCACGAGATCATAGGCCCTCTGTTACATGGAGTGAAAAAAAGAACAGTGAGACAAATTGTATAGTAAATGATGGTACTTTCTATCTGTGCACCCAGTCAGTTGCCATTGAGTCAGTTCAGACTTCCAGCAACCCCGGGTGTGTCAGGTTAGAGCTGTGTCCGTAGGGTTTTCAGGGCCTGATTTTTCAGAGCAAGTCACCAGGCCTGTCTTCCTAGCACCTTTGGGGTCATGTTAACCGTTTGCACACCAGGGACTCCTTTACCTGTGTAAATAATATTAAAAGATACACAGTGTCCCTCTGTCCC